TCAAAAGTTAGAAACTGAAAAGTACAAAAGAAACAGCTTTGGCTACAAGGTTCTTGTCTAAACTACACAAAAAATCAAATTTTTAGCTTCTTTGGAATTCTTCAGCGAGTTCCCGGTGAATCTTGTTTGTTTTGTTCTGATTTGGCTACTAAGATTCAAGGGGAGGAGGGAAAAACTCACCCATGCGCGTATGCGGCGCGGTTTCTTCACGGCACCGCGGCGGCAGGGCGGGCGAAGGGTGATCGCTTGCGCCTCCGCCACTGTGCTTCAATCAGAAGCCCCTTTTATGCCCCATTATGTGGAAGGAGGAGGAGAGAAAAGAGGATTGAACAAATAGTGAACGCTAGGTGAGTTAGTGGTAATGGTGAGCAGAGAATACAGAAAAGTCGAGAATCAGAGCGTATTATTTCAGTCAACAGCGGAACTGGCAGAATGATTCCCTTCGAATGGGACGTGACGTTATAGCGTTATAAGGTCACAACCAACTGTTGGCAATTTGCCAGCTCAGCTTGAACTTTCGTGTAAAAGCTGCTTGCGTCGTTTTCACAATCGAAGGGAACTATGCCGCCAGTTCTGCCATTCACTGAAGTAATTCGTGATAGTCGACTTTTCTGTGATCTCCTACCACTACCACTAACTCACATATGCACCCACTATCTGTTCAATTCCCTTCCTCTCTCTACTTTTCCCTCCTCTTCCTTCCACATAAAAGAGGCTGCTGGATTGGAGCACAGCGCCGGAGACGCGGCCATCGCCTTTCGCTCCGCCCTGCCGCCGCGGCGCCGTGAAGAAACCGCGCCGCATACGCGCACGGGTGAGTTTGTACACGGAGCCAGATTCAAGTATGCCGATGAGTGAAGAGCCGATGAGTCATCACTCGCCGCGAGCCGCGTGGCCCCTCCCAACTACGTTAGCACCCACAACAAAACGTTGTTGGTAACTGTTTGCAGTTCAAGGAGTTGCGTTTGCATTTAGACATGGCGACGCAGGGTCGCTCGAGCGATTGAATCGCGCGATACACAACCGGGGCGCTCCACCGCCCTTACCGCACACTTTGTGACGGTAGTCGTTGTCGTAATGGATTTATTGAGGCGGGGTGGCCTCGGTGATAGTGGTGGGTCCGAGACGGGGTGGTCTCGGACCGTCAGGTAGTAGAATGCTGACTTAATCTAGGCGTGCCTCTCAATACAGGAGAGGTCACGCATCGAGTATCTAACTATTTACCTATGGGTCATAATCACATGTCTTAATAACAGTACGGTAACTTCAGTAGGCGAGAAATCATACACCGTAATCCAAAGGAGCCGTAAATAAATCTAAATGCACACTAAGCACAGTATCTCACGACAACGACGCTAAAATTGCGTGGGTACCGCGGGTATGTGTTGCGGCTGCTGTTAGCTCGAACATTTTTGAACGTTACGGACGAAAAGAATAGGTGTCTAACTGGTGTTCTTAGCACCGATCGACAGTGTCGTGACTCCTGCACGACTTCTTCGCATCGGTCCGCCGTTACGTCCATTGCGCACTACCGCACGCGCAGCTGTCAACAACTGCCATGTTTAAAGGACCGTTTTCGCAGGCCGCACTGGGGTCTCGCCGCGCAGCTGTCTCTTCGCTGACCATTCGACGCGACTCCCCATTTTTGGGCCCACAAGCAGTTTGTTCGGGCTGGAGTTGCGAAGTGGAGTTTGCTGTCGTCCGTTTCTACGTCTCATTCGTCCGTCTGCTCATTATCGTCGTCTCTCCTCCCCCCTTTCCCCTCACCCACGAGCCTCGGGCTCGTCCTTGCCTGACTTGGCCCGTCCCACGATTGCGCAGTTGCCACCCTGGGGCAACTATGTCTAGCGCATCCCCCGCCGTCCTTCGTCTGAGGAATATCGCAAGTGGATTGGAGAAGATCAGGACCGCAGGTAGCTGGAGAGCCTCCATGGCCCAGTCTTAACGCAGGGAGCCGGCACGTAGGTCTTTTAGCCTTGTTAGGTGTTTCTTGATGTTTGATTAATGATAAATAACCTTCCGCATTTTCTTTTCCTTTTTCTTCACGTGTTTAAACACGTTTTTTTTTATTTACGATTGATGCATTGCTCATTCATTGGTATTTGATGTGTAGTTTCTCGCATATGGCTGACAGCCCTTTACCAACTAATCGATTGCCCCGTTAGGATGTCCGTAATTGATTCATATGAGAGTAGACGTGTTATCATGCTTCAAAATATGGGACTAGCGGGACCGCAGAAGCCCAAATCTTGGGGAACCACAAACGGGCGCAAAAGGCATTCAGGTTAAGGGGATGAGGACCGCAAGCGTGGCCGCGTGGCACAAGTTGATAACAGGCAGACCCCCTTTTCACCAAAGGACCCAACACGGCGCGCACTTCCCTACAGGAACCACCGCAGCAAGGGACCCGCGTCGCGACAGCACCTACACTAAACTCTTCAAAACGCTGCATTTCGCTGAGAAGATTTAACATGCTAGGTAGATAGCTAACTTTAGCTTTCGCAAAAAATGCTCGAACGCAGGCGAGAATTATGAAGCAGCCCATCGCAACCCAGTTCAAGTAGTTTTGTCTCCATTCTCAATCAAATAAGAATGTTAAGGGTTTTAAGGACAGCACAGCTGCATCGCAATGGGGAATTTTTAGCCTTACAGATTACTGAACGTTGTTGCCCACTGCGCAACTTTGTCTCCTCATTTCGGCACTGGTCCTGAAATGCCTAGAGTAGTATGAACTTCAACTGCGAGCTCATCCTTGAAAGCTGCGAATAAGGCTGACTATAAATCTCGCACTCGTACCGGTTTTGTTCAAAAAAACTATGCTCGTCATTATTCCTCGGATCGCACGGAACCAACAGGAAGCAAGCAGGCAGTTTTGAGCACACGGCAAAGAAGCTATCCTCTCATTAGAACCTTATATAAGGATGTGGATAATCAAAACCACTACACTAACGAAAGAAGCAGGGCATTAATCACGGAATGAATGCGGGACCTGTGAAGGGGAAACATGCAAAACTATTTTATTCTGCCAACTTGACCAGTTTTCGGAGAAGTCCCGTGGCATTTTCATCTGGATAATGCTTTAACACGGTACCTCTGTAATGTGTAAAGACTCCACTGCAATGTCATGAGCAATTCTGTGGCACTATTGAACTATTCCTACTCCCAGTCTGCCAGGCCAGTTTTTTACCACTTTTCTACAAGGGCAGATATGGTTGAAAATTTGCTCATAGGGGTACTTCGACCTCTGAACACCTATATCACATTCACTTCTCTACAAACTGCCTGGCGTCCGCGCCAAAATATCCTGTACCACCAAATTCGCTGAAAACTTGTCCCTAGTGGTAATTTGACCCCTGAACATGAATATCACATCCGCTTGGGCCAAAACCGTCGCTGAGCCTTGTATACGTTATTTGACATTCTTATTACGAATATGGCATTTATTCCTGCCGCCGGCGCCAACGTAGGACACCATGGTCATCTGCGCTGATCACTCATTTTCCCACGTTCAGCCTTTACAGAACGCTTAATGGCAGTGGTATCCTTACATTCTATAAACCACTAACTCTGTGTGTCGGTTTGTCGGTATGTATGTATGTATGTCTGTCCGTCCGCAAAATGCTTCACGGGTTCAAACACGTCAGTGTAGGAGAGTATACGACCGCTAGCCGGTGGCGAAACCAGTTGGTGCAGATGTATCAATCCAATGTTTTGATTGTGATAACACCCTGCACTATATAAGAGAACCATGTAGTGCACTCCAAACCATTGCACGAGCTGCTCGCGTGGCAGGTGGACGTGAGCACGTGCAGCGGCCGGGATGGGGAGTGGGGGGGTGGGGAGGGTATAATGTGGGTGGGTGGGATTAGTGAGGGAGAGTACGGGAGGGGAAGCATAGAGTGCGTTTAGTAGAAACTCATCACAAGTGTGGTAATAAAAGCGCCAATGAAAGCGATAAGGTGAATAGAGGAAGGATCAACCGCTAGCAGAGTCGCGAATAAAATCCATGTTTTGGTATCACTTTGAGGCAATGTGTGATTGTTTACAACCTCACTATATAAAAGAATCATGTAGTGCACTATAAGTGAGCTACTCGTATGAACATATTGGTCAAAGATTGTTGACTATCTGTATAAAAGAAAAGCCGGTGAGGAGAAAGATAAGCGCGGCGGAGCCGGGCCCGCTCAGCAAATCCATTCTTTATCTCAGAAGAAGGCGTGCAGGCATCGGAGAAATAAATGCCACACTCGTGATAAGGGCTTCGAGCAACCCTATTACACAGGTTTTCATCGATTCTGGTGAGGAAAGGTGTGGCGCCAAATTGGCGCCCCGTGACGCAATGATGCAAGCGCCAAAAATTAATAATATATTGGTGATCATGCCATCGAATAACATCTGAAGACAAAGTCTTAGCGAAAACTTTTTTGAGTTTTTGGGATAGGAATAGTTCAATAGTGCCGAAAAAAGATGTACTGGAGCATCCAGCAGGCCTACAGATCTTATGAGCACTACTCCATGCAATCGTTCTATTCGCTCTCCTTCGCATCGCAACACACAGCGTGTTACCCAGGCAATTTTGGCGCTTTTGTCGTGAGATACTGTGTTTGGTGTGCATTCAGATTTATTTACGGCTCCCCTGGGGGTACGGTGTATGATTTCTCGCCTACTGAAGTTACCGTACTGTGTCTTTGATATTGGCTTGTGGGTTATACGCATCAATCACTCAGGCATAAGAAGGTGCACCGGCCAGGTTCTGGCGCAATCCAGAAACACTTCACAATGGGCCATATTCCACACAGTGCCGATTTTGATTGTGCCTTGCAGCGGTGCACCGTTTGGCGGTGGAGCGCTCCCGGTTGCGCGATGCAATCGCTCGAGCGATCCGGTCGCGAAGTCTGAACGCGGTCTATTCAGCGAGTGCTTACTCTCTTTTTTTTTTTTGCTTACATTAATTTCGCCTAATTTCAGACGAACATCTGCAGTCTAATGTTCGGAGAGAGATGTCGGAGCCTGAACGGAATAAGGAGGGTGCTGTGACGAAAGCCTCATCGTCGTTCGTCGTCAAACTTCTACCAGCCCACTGCCGTAATCGTGTAGCGACAGCCGGCTGTCGGCTAACTCTTTCATCTCTTCTCAGAACTCATATTTCGGCTGCTGGGCATCTAGCTTCGCAGTAAGTTTACAAAATCTTCTTCCTGTGCATAGCGTTCCTTTTTCTTGGCCACTACTTTCGTAAAAGTGTTTTGTATAGGCAACGCCTGGGGCCATATGCTATATTTTCCCTGCGAGGGGAGTTCAGTAAGACCCAATGAGAAGTGGGATTTTTTTACAAGACGAAATCCGTTTGAAACTAACCTTCAGATTCCTTGGCTCACCGCTGAAAGGCTTCAAGATCTCCTTCCAAGGTTCGATAAGCGTCCGCAAAATAGATGATGATGCTAACCAGGAAGAGAAAGGTTTGAATTTAGTTCGCGACCTTTGTGGACAACATCGCTGGATACACTCCTTTTCTAACAAGAATCTCGTTAAGCACGTAATTTTGACGAATCCAGAGATGTAGTCCTTCTTCGGCGTTTGCGCAAAATTGCTCGTCTCGAAGAGGAGATTCGTGATTTGGAAGTGAAACACCGACTGAAGGTTGATGAGTTGTCGGATATCTTAGAGGATTAATCTGCTCATCACAGTCACGTTTTCCTATTGAATGTACACTCCTTCTAGGGATACATGGTTTTAGGTATGTATATATTGCATTTCGTGACGGAATAAAGATGGCGTTGTTACAGTTTTTCTACCAGTAAGCACTTGGTGCTCGGACCAGTCATCACAGCATGTATGGCAAACAACTAGAGGTGTGTGGCCTTAATTCCTTTCGTGACGAAAGGAGCCTTGCAAGCGCTGTAATTTGCGCAGCATTCCCAGCAGGACCCAATCCGCACGTCGTGGCAGCTCTGCAGTAGATCTGCTCTTCCTGTGCCTGTATCTTCTACGTGAACTACCTAAAAAATACTCTGCGGTGACTCGGAAATAACGCTACAGACCCGGGGCCAAGGAGGATTGTCCATCTGGCCAAAAACAACCCCTCTCTCTGCGACAAAATATTACCTAGTCAGACTCCTCGACGTTTATCACCGATTTCGCATGACCCTTGCCGCGAATTGGGAGAGAGGTGCAAGAACCAAGATAGGAACGCAATGAGTCACGAGTAAATTAGAGGTTCTGTGGGACAACAGTTGTTTTCTCTTTTCTCGTGCTCTTCACTTCCGCTCACACTCCCAGTTAGTAGGTTCGTACTGGTAAAGCCTCAATAATAGTAGCATCCTGATTAGTAACATTCGCTGCGGATGAAGGGGCATGTCCGGCGAGATAGGTTGGCGTGACGCGGCCCAGTGGATGAAGCGGGTAAGCGACAGCAGTTGGTGGAAGACGACTGATACTAACCATATGATAAAGCCTTGTCTTTTGCTCGCTTCAAAAATCGGTGGAAAACGGGTTTGGCGCGTTCAACTCATCCCGCCTGACACTCCCCTTCTTATGCAGTGGACGAGGTTGTAATCTTGCCGTGTGACGAAAGAATGAACTTCCTGTAAATGTTCAGAATCTCCTACTCCTCTCTTCTTTGACCGAGTTGATCGCTCTGTCATAGGAGGTGTTACGGCGCAACTCGAGACCTCCAAATCCTTATAATCGCTCGAAATGTTCTGTTCTCTCTGCCCTCTCATCAGAATCAAACTCTGCTGGCTCTGGAGTTTTCGATTCGCTGGTAGCCCACAAGTAACTTTAGCCTGTCGAGTGTATATGTAATGGGAAGCGTCGCATATACAAAGAGCCTCACTTCATGTGAGACACGTCTTCAACGACAAGATTCCAAGAATGGCAGATAACAGTCATCTCAGTGAGCCTTCACCAGGGCACAGCATTGTTGGGGATTTTGGTCGAGTCACGGTAACCCTCCCCCTTTTTTTGGGAGGTTGCTACCACCCCGCCCGCCCCCTCACGACAGTACGAAACAGAGCATATCACGAAAGCCAACCACCTACTGCCCACACTCCTAGAAGGCCAGTAAGCTAAGAAAGATGCGACCCCCGCCCCCTTCCTAAGTCGCTCACCGAGTAGGCCCCTTCACCAAGTACATATATATCCCCCTTTACAACGCCACGAAGCGAGAAAAATCAACTACCAAAATAAATTTTTCCCAGCTCAAATACGACCCCCTCTCCCGGCGACCAAACACGACCCCCTGTTGGGAATTCTTCAAGAATAACGTGCCCTGTCACCACTAACAATAGTAAACAACTTGCAGCAGTCTCTGTGTTCCATCCCCCCCTATCAAAGGCCTAAGGTTAGAGCGTAGACAATCAGAGTAGATGGGCCTATGCTTGCAGCAGTCTTACGCTACTGGATAGGGGAAGGGAGGACTAGCTCTCAGGGCACTTCTATCGAGCTCTCTTCACTTCTCCTTTTTTTCTCCTCAATCTTCTTTTCCTCCGTTCCTTCTCTTGTTCCTCTACATTCTCCACCTCTCGCCTTCCAACTTACGGCGGGCTAGTAGATGCGATGAGAAAATTCCTCTGGACCCTCGCAGCGAGAGCACGTCTCGACTGCCGCGTGGCCCGCCGTCTCAGGATATCTGTCAACCGCGAAAGGTCTTTCCTACTTCCTTTTTCCCCCTCTATCCTTATTCTTCTTTCTCTCTGCGTTCTTGTTATTCTCCTCCCCTCGGATGCTCGACGAAAAAATGCAACGAAAAATTTCACTGAACCTTTCCGTGCGAGTGAATATCCGCAGCTGACAACGCTCAATTACGTTGATGCGCATCGACTCTTCCGGTGTCCTAAAAACTTGAGCTACGCGCCCAAGGCTAAAAACTGCGACGTGCGGTTTGGTTTATTAGGGCCATTTTAGCGAATACGCCTGTGCTTAGCTTACAAGTAGAATTCGTTGGTCTTACCTTTCTTCAACCATCATTTGCGTTCCACATATACAGGTAAATGTTTCTTTCACTTTGTGAGTGTGACTTACTTGTTTTCGTCATTTCAGAGCCCTCATGTTGTACAACAAAGGTCACCTGTGCTCCTCTCACCGTCATATCTTCCACGAACCAATGCGGCGCTTTATCTGCGTTGGACAGCTGCCCGACTTCTCACATTGCCATTTCTGCTCTCTTGAATGTCTGGCGAGAACGACGAATGGACCTTGTGCGCTTGTCTCAGACAACATGCGTAACGTCATAAACTAGAAAAGGACCATTTTTTGATGAAATGTGTCGCTACTAGAAGCGCTTTTTCTATAATTATAACCTTAACTAGTTTTTTATTCTGATCACTGATCGGTTCTCACATGCTTTTCGTCACATGCTTTTCAATCATAGCGTCCAAAGGACAGCTGCGAGAAGAAATCACAACTCCTAAATGACACCTGCATTCATACTTTGCTACTGGAGAATCAGGGAAAAGGAGCATGCATGCCAAAGGGTTGGATGGGAGCAGGGCCTGTCGTTGGGATCCCTTGCGAGAGGGGTCCTAATTGCTTTCGAATCGGAAAAAGGTTGTCGGTTGTTGACTTTTCACTGCTTTCCCGTGTTTCAAGTACGCTATGTACGCCTTTCGGAGTGGGGTGAGGGTCTCATTAGAGGAGGTCTTTGAGGTGGGGAGGGTATATTTTGCAGAAGTTTTCCTCAACGGAAGATCGTGCGCTGGATGCATGTGAGTCTCCACTCCCTCCCCTCACTGCCCTTTTGCTGACTTCAGAGCAAGAATCGTCGGCAGTCGAGTCCTTTTTGCCTTCCTGCAAACGATTCTTACAAATGGATGATCTTCCTAATCAAGATGTATGCTTCTCTAGTCGCACATTCTTCCGACGCCGATCCTCCCATGTCGCATTCGTCACTTTTTCCGGGTAATTGTAGGACACTGTCACGCTTCGCGACTAGTACCAGTCCTCTATCGCTTCTTGTGGTACGGCCAGCGCTCCACCGCTGATTGTAAGACTGCAGCAACTACTAGTTTTGTATGCATCCGATCATGTATGCATCTACTAATCACTGATCGACTGGTTGGATTTCCGATTCATTGATGGGTTTTCGATTGATGGTGATTGAGTTACAGCGATCCAGCGATCAGCGGTGGAGCGCGATTGGCTGTAGTTGCGCGCTTCAGCCGCTTGAGTCGCGAAGCATGAACGCGGCTGTGCAAGCACTTGCTCTGGTGTCTTTGCCTTCTGCGCTTGTTGGTTCCATATGATGTGATCTTAGAAGTATTCATATATGGCAGGGTGTTTGGTGTAAGGCTGCATTCACACTTTTCATCAGCGTATCGAGCGTTTGAGCGATTTCGGTGCAATGGAAATTACGCTCTGGGCGTTTCGGAAGTAGTGGAAAGTTTAGGTATCGATCTAGCGTTTTGGGGCAACACCAGCAGTTTGAGTGTTTCGAGCGTTTTGCTTTAAAAGCTAGAGCGGTACCGACACATTCTTTTTCTCGGAAATCGCTTATACGCTTTTGTTTCTCTCAAAACGCTAGATTCATGCCTGTTCCTCTTCCACTTGGAACGCTTAAAACACCGTCGAAAGGTATGAACGCTGCACAAGGTTTACATCTGTTGCCTTCTTGGACATTTCTGGTATTTCCAAAAATTGATTTGCATTTGTGATGAAGTGCTGAGAAACCAATAGATTTTGGTGCTCATTATGCGTCAAATCTGACTAGTAAACCCGGAAAAACCGACTTTTCGTTGGGATGAATCCTTTTTATACATGTGTACTAGTTATTCTTTCTGAATCACCGTCAGTCATCGCTTCTTTAATTTCAGCCTATTTTAGGAGGAATTGGCCATATCCATGGAAAGTTTAGTTGAGTCTTGTGAGGCGGTAGCTGATAACAAGTTGTCGAAGAGATGTCGTGATGCTCCACTGAATGGCACATGCATGGTAAAGTGTCTGGATACCGATTGCATACACGACCTTGAGATGACTTTCATGACAGTTTCCTTTTTACAGAACTGGTAGCAATTTCAGATTTGTGAAGATCCTCGAGGCAGTGTTCATTTCGGTGTGGTTTCCTGTGCTGCTTGCTCAGCATTTTTTCGTCGTACCATCTCGGAGAACCGAAAGTATTCATGCAGACGCCTTTCTGAAGGAAATTTCAATTGTCCTATTGATCAAAGTAGGTTAATTCACAATTGCAGCTATTCGGTTCGACTCGCTCAATTTTTTGCTATTAGAACATCGCTGCTATTGTCGAGCTTGCCGATTGCAAAAATGTTTGGCAATGGGGATGGATCCTAGAAGTAGGTTTTTTAAACTGTTCTTGAAAAAGAGATTTTGAAAGTCATTCCTCATTGATCTTTTTTCTCTTCCTGTACATGACTCTGTTGTTTCAAGATTGTCGTCAAACTTTCGCAGGAATAAGTTGTTTAGAAAACTGCAGTAGTTGCATGCTTCACTTCATGTAGCCCATATCTCTTCCATCAGTTCAAGAGGTGGTTAATTCTGGGCAATCCTGGGCTAAGTTCTGAATAACCTCGGCATTGCTTTTCGACATCCTTCACTGTCCAAGTCTTCAAAGCTTCAAAGCTTTTGATGTGTCCGCCATATTGGCTATCTTTCTTTACCGCCCAAGAAAAGAGCTCAAACCGACGATTTCCTTGAGTAAGAGGTAGTTGTGCACTTACAAATGAATGATGTATTCCCATACCGGCGCTTCAGTCTATTTAAAGATGCTGTTTTAAACCAGTTTCATTGGCTTTTCATGCGTCTCAACATAATTTAGTCCCTATAAATTTCTTTTTCACCTCATCTGTGAAAGATGTAATGGTTCTTGCTAAGATCCACCTTGGTTCCCACCTTTTTGATGGTTTAGCCTTACGGTGCTGTGCTGGTGTAAACGGCCTTTTGGATGTAACAGATTTCACTTATAAAGAGATGTCGTTACGAGAAACGCTGCTATCCTCTGGTTTTCCGTTCATTCATCTTTTGGGAATGTAAATCTGCTCGTATATTATTTGTTTATACTCCTTTTTTACTGAAAATCCGCTTTATCGTAGAATCCTCATCCGCCCATTATATGTGTTATAGGTGTTCAGCTATATAGGGATACTTATGGCTCCAAGCATATGAGACGCACTCAGAGCGAAACCTTCACTCAGCAGCAAGAAGACCCTAACGGTTTCACGGAAGGCAATGTTGTTCCACATGATTCGTCCGTGTTGATGTCGAAGTACGTGTAACTTAGAAGCTCGCGAAAAGTTCTGATTGGAAAAATGCACAGTATGATGCTGTTGCTGTAATACAACTGCAAAACATTCAAATTTATTACTTGGTCTTGCTTGTGTAAACTCTTAGCTTCTTTTCGTAGCTTCCCAACGTTGGCCTTGATTTATTAAAGCATTTATCTTAGTCTGTCGACACATGCTTTTTCTTTTCAGGGCTACTGCTCGGCAGCTGCTTTCATTTTCCCAAACGTCATCGTCTTTCAAGAGAGGACTCGAAGAAATGGTGTCCTATTTTGAGGAGGATGACGGTGCCTGTGAGGTTTGCGTTACGTTCCTAGTTTTACATTTGTTGTAGTTCTTTTTTTAAGTACTCCAAGAATTTTTGGTGTGGAAATAAAAATATATAGGTGGGAAGGAAAGTCTTGTCTTAGTTGTGACTTTTTTCTTTTCAATTTTCTAACTTGCGAATTAATCAACAATATACTCGTCATGGTTAGCCACTGCAGTGCTCTACCAAATGGGCAGATTCCTTCTGTCTCAGAACAGGAGGCTGCGAGTAGTAGGTCAGCGGCCTCTCGACTGTTGTCGTCAAAGTTCCTGGAATTTCATAGAAAAGAAGGTCTTAAGAAGATGAAGCAGTAGGGGATTACGTCAGGAGAGTACGATGAGCGGGGTTTGGTCTCCCAGCCTTGCTCCTCAATTATTTGGTAGGTCTCCATAGCAGGTATGGGGTCTCGCGTACTATGAACGAGGTGCTCCGAAGCTAGTTTCGGTCATTTTTCTCCAACAACTTCCACCGGTTTCAGGAGCTGAGCGACACAAATGGTAGCGGTGATCGTGTGTTCTTACAGGGCAGCTCGTTCTGCAGCATCCCCCTCGCGTCCCAGGAGCAGCACAGGAACCTTCTCGGAATACATGCCCGGTTTGGAGTGCCAGGATCTCCTCCTCGAGAGAGATACACGGTACTGTGTGGGTTGAAATCACAGAGGAAACATCTGTCATCCTCATAAGCAGTCTCCAGAAACATCCTTCTGACGAGGGCGGAGAAGGGGAGACTGACCAAGGGGTACCCGGGTGCGCAGCGTGCCATCGGTCAAGGTATGAGTGATCCATCGAGCCAGTACTTTTCGGTAGTCAAGGGCTTACAGGCGGTTGACGACTGTCAGTTAGGTACATCCGAGTCTTGTCGCAAGACTGCGGGTGGTAACCTCCGGATCCTCCTTGACAGCTTCGAGAATGGTGGAGTCTTCCACTTCGTGGGGCCGTCCCAACCGAGGTTTGTCTTCGAGGGTCGTGTCTCCTTTCGCGAAGCGAGCGAACCAAAGGTGGACAGTCATGATGGTAGTGGTGTCCTCCGCCAATGCACTGCTGATGTTGCGGACAGCTGCCGCTGCTCCAGTGCCGCGGGGCCACTGATAGAACATGATGACCCGAAGATGCTCCTGTGAAACTGACATCGTAATTAGACCCAGGAAAGTGCAGGCGCCCTCAACAACTCTTGCAGGAAAGCTCCTAGAATGTTCTACAAGCATGGCATGTTATGTTCGAGCATCAATAACCGAAAAGTGTAGGTTTTTCAAAAAACACTGACGGGATTTTCCTTGCAGCCTAATATTTCGAGCACTTTATAGCGAATTTCATTCTATAACCATTCCTTAATTTGTGTGTTTCCCAAGTACCTCAGTGGTGAATTCTGATGAAAGTGTTATGCTCCATCAAAGTGGAAGTTGTTATTCTTGTCCGCACCCACTTGACACTTCCCCATTTACGTCGAATCTCCCTTCTTCTTCATCCATTTCTTCGCTTCCAGGCCCAGTTCCAATATCCTGAGTCCACAAAGCCGTCGCCTGTGATGTCATCTACTGCTTGTAAGGTTATTTTACTTTTTTCAACAAATCGTTCGTTTTCGCTTTGCCTCTCGCCTGCTGGTCGTCCAATCCCGTTTGCTTTTTTGAGCGCTAAACAGACGTTCAGCTGTTCTGTAGGTCATAGTTGTAGGATATTCAACCTTTTCAACCAAGTGCAACTCAAGATTCTAATCGTTATTTCTAGTGATGATTTTCTTCCTCATTTTTGGTGTAATTTAGCTCGACTTCGCTTAGTTCTTTTCCCTCCAAATTCTACCGGAAGCTCAGAGATTTTCCCAGCATCTTAATTTTAACAGTAGCACTTTGTGAAATTCAAGAAGTTTTGGTGCTGATTCTGCACTCTTGACCCTTCACTACCCCGGTCTTCCGGAGTGAGGCTAACTTCACCGCCTTTTTTGTGGGCAGATTTTGGCTAAAAATTTGTGTTCAAGTGTGGTTTGATCTCCTCTCGAATATCACATCTGCATTGGGTGCCAAGAGAGTTAAGGATGGACGGAAGGGGGTACACGTGACAGTGCAGTGTGCTGCGATTGCAACATTCCTCGAGGCAGTGATTCCGCCTTCTACTAATGCTGAGCTTTGCGAAAGGGATCGAGGGATCGCTATTGCTGACAACCAGAGGGGGTACTTTCTTGTCTGGCCGTTGCACGAAACAAGCCACGATTCCGCACTGAGAGCAGACCGGAGTCAGAACATGCATGTTTTGCCGACCTATGTGACGCAGGTGGTCAGCGATTCGGTACCAAATGAACGTGATGTACTTGTTCAGGGAATCGGCGATCGATTTATCCGCTGCGGCAAGATTCTAAGGAATATGGTGGCTTAGCATACTTTCGCGCCGTGCCTGTGGCGTGGACGCCGGTTACTCTTAGGCCAAGCGAATGTGATGTTCATATCAGAATGTCAAACTACCCTTGGAGGCAAGTTTCCAGCCGAATGTGTCGGAGGAAAAAAAAGGCTGTAAAAACTGGCTTGTTTAGAAAACTAGGGCAGTAGATATCGCCGTTGATTCGATTGCTGAATTTCACAAAGTAGCTTGTAGAAATATTTTCCCCATTTTGCTAATCTAGGCTCATTTTGGTTTTACCTTTTAACGATCATTCACTTTCCGTAAGAGTTTCTCTTGGTCGGTGGGACTAGTAAACATTTGCCTAATTCTTTTACATATATTCGATTTCTGCAGTGAGGGTAAATTTTATCAGTTTTACAGCCATACCTCCAACGAACTTAAAGCGTGAGTCCATAGAATCTGCCGCATCGGGGAATATGATTGAGATGATGGTGAAATCGTATGAAGAAATGCTTGAGAGAAGGCGGCTTTTTTATTGTCCAAGCTCGATTCGTGATATTCTCGGCGGTACAAAACCTGTGAGTCAGTTCTTGTAGAACAGTGAATTTTAAAGCTTTTAAAACATTTTGTTAGGAATCTTATTCTCTAATGTAATGGCAAACGGGCATTTATAGACGGTGAGACCTGCCTGTTATTTCGGTGAGAGGGTTAGACGAGATCGTTTGCGTGTGGATATTGCGTTGTTAGTGGAGTTTCTTAATTCAATCTCTCCATTCCCACATCTGACCTTGGACGATAAGGTACGACTTCCTTGAAAACCAGTTACTCTGGGAATATTCAGTACTTTTTCCAGGTAGCTCTCATGAAAAAATTCTCCGTGTCCTTCTCCATTCTCGAAAAGTACTATATTACAATGCGAGTTGGAGGATTACAAACTAACAGGTTAATACATATTTATGCTCTTCACGGTCATTATATGCGGTATCTTCAGTTTTTTTTTTCAGGATATTTCACAGTGATGGGACTTACTCGGATTTAGATGATCCAGATTCAATAGCAAAAGAAGCTAATAGAGTGGCAGGTGGAGGTGTAGATCGTAATACTTTGAACAAGTGAGGTTATAAAAAAATTTCACACAATTTCTCCTCTGTTCGCAAGGTCAACATATCGATTCAGACTGTTCATCCAGTCATTGAAGGATTTTCTGTTGGAATTATCTGTACCTATGTACCACAATAAAATGACTGATGTCGAATTTTGTGCGCTGAACGCCGTGCTGCTATTTGATCCAGGTTCGTCTGCTGCCAATTTTTTTGTAAAGCGTGGTTCTCTTTGATATATTTAACTTCTTTTGTGCCTTACGAGCTTGATAGCTGGAACACTTGTTCAGTAAGTCCTCACCTTCTCAC